ATGTTATAAAAACAAAAACTATATTTTCAAACATATTGCAAATTAATTGCAATTTATATTTATATATCATAAATATTCAATAAAATATAACTATAAATATAATTATCAATTCAATTTGTTTTTATATAAAATATTTAACTAATCAATCAATAATAATCAATAACAACAACATGCAATCAATAAAATACTGTAACATTATGTAAAAAACAATTTTTCTATAATTTTGATTTATTTTTTTTAAATTTAATTTAATTAATATCTATTATAATTTAAAGTCCTATTATATTTTAATTTTTATAGGAAAATTTTAAAATTATAATCGATTCATATTTTTATAATATTATTATAAAATAATTAATAAATTTGTAAATTATATAAAAATTGTATACAAATTTAAAAAATTTTATACAATATAAATATGAAATTTTGAAATATTAAAAATCCAAAATGAAAATTAAGTTATAAGTAAATATTCTTTCTAAGATAGAATTTATAATTTTGATTATTTAATTTAATCAATTAACTCTATATATTTTGATTTTTCTACAATCATTAATTAATTATTAGTCTGTCTTCGAAGATGAAAAGTGTTTCAATATGGGAGTTATAAAGAAATAGTAAAGTTTAATTTTTTTTTATTGTGTACAATTCACAATTAAAAATTATTATATAATACAGTTAAATTTTCGCGCGAACTTGAAATAGGGAATCGCAAGTTCTAGCCAATCAAAAAGCTGTTAAAATTAGTCTCATCATGAATCTATGCGCATTGTAATGCGCATGGCGTCAGTCTATAGTTGAAAATCGTGGTGACGGGTCACGTTTCGTTAGCTGAAGTGTATAATTATAAAAAAAATTGTTATTAATTACTAAATATACGTTTGTTTAATCATGTTATATCAGAATTGAATAATACTTTGAACTTTTGTTGGCTTTGAGTTTGATTCAATCAAATTAACGTTTGATTGAAGCTTCGAAGATGGCGGAATGGTTTCAAAAGTGAAATAATTTATATTATAGTGAAGATTGAAAGATAATCTGACGATTTTTCCAAATATGGTAAGTTTTTATTTATTTTTAAAAACAAAGTTATTATAAATTTCTTTTATCTTTTTATTCATTTTGAAATAGAAGTAATAAAGTCATTATGTTCAATTCATGTACATATATCATATTCTTTCCTAAATTTTTTTCTAATTTATCCATATTATTTAATTCTTGTATTATTTTTGTATGATTGTTTTGATTTTTCAAGATTTCAAAATCAAAAATATTTTTCATAATTTTGTCTTTGATGGCGTTTGTGTCATGCTCGACATACTTCGATTTATCGATATCGATATATATTATTAATTGAATTGAATATTTTCTTTCCCTTTTTCGATTTATAATTCGATATATCGAAATCGCTATGCAAAGTGTTATTCTGTTATCGAAACTTATGACAATTAGACCCTTTGCTTTAATGTTATGATTTATTTATTTCTTTGACAATTATTTTTTTATTTTTTATATTATTATTTCATTAATACACGTTTATTCGATTATTTATTGAATATTTTTATAATCAATATTTTTTTGAAGAATAATTTATTATTTTTTTTCATTCACTTATTTGACTCTTATTATGTGCTTTTAAAATAAGATTTGAATTAGATTATAGTTTTATTTTATATATTTTACATATTTATCTTCAAGATATAGTATATACATATATGAAAGTATAGTATATATATATTTATATATAAAATATTTTTTGTAAAAAAATTATTTATAGTTATTGAAAATATCAAGTTAGTAAAAGAAAAGATTTCGAAATATTATATATAAATATTATATAATTCATGATTTGCTATATTTCTTATGAATTTTTTCAGTACTTTCCTCAAGAGGATAAGAATATCATCTATCATGCAAAGAGGTAATTATAATTTTTTTTATTTAAACTTCTTTTATTTATTAGAAAATTTAAATTTTTAAATTTCATTTCAAAAATATAAATCTTTACTATTATTCTATTTTATTAGAATTTCAATCTTTAACACCACATTCATAAATTATAATATTCCATTTTTTGTTATAGATATTTTCCAGTGTTCACAATGATCTCCTACGAATAACGATACAGATTCTTCGCATCAAATGGTGAGTCACATGCATTTTTGTTCCTCCGGTCATTCAATCACGTCATAGGATGAAAGATCCGAATCGATATGAATGATTGGTTGTATACATATAATTTTGCACGAGCATAGTGACCACGGGTATTTATTTTACTCGTGAATAGTAACATTTCCTTTTCTCTGTATTTTATTTATTAGATTAGGATAGGTCTTCTTGTATCATGTTTTTTAATTATCAAATCAAGTATGATTTGAAATATAAATTTATGCTTCTTTTATGCTTCTCCATAAAAATGTATTAAATCTATATACAAGAAGACATTACGCGACAGGTAGATTTTTGAATCAGAGCAATAATCAGCTTTTGAACATTATTTATGCATTTTCGAATATTTGCTTTGATGAAAGAATCGCCTGAGGTTATTTTTTTTTTAAATCAATTATCCATTGTCATGAATAAATTTTCATAAATAAATTCTTTGTTAATATCCTCATTTGATTGATATTAATACTTAATAATTAATTAAATATATAAAGTAAATTACTGTTTAAAATAAAAATAAATAAATTTTACAAAAGAGTATTAATCCGTTAAATAAAAATAAATAATTTTTTTTTAGTTCAGGATTTTCAGGTTTAACTCTTTGCATGTCTGTTGCCAGAATCTCACTCACGTGCCCAGGTGCTACTTGGGTGGGAGAGAGGCAATGGACATGATGAATTTAGTTTATAAGCTAACAAAAACTTTTTAGCGATTGACGATGCGTTAGCGTATCGTGCACGACGTATTTTCCATATTATGTGTGTGTGGTTAGGCTGTGGAATTGCGTCGTTTCAATTATTATTTTCTTCATTATTAATTCAATTAATTTATATATAATCACATTCGTAATTAAAATTACGAATATAACAATAAATAGTAGCATTACTAAATAGTAGCATTTTAATCTCAAATTACAATAATGGAAATTTAACCATTTAGCTATTTCTTTCATCTTTGATTATAAATATTGAAATTAATTGCAATTTATTAAAACGCATTTTCGTCATGTTTCACGCAATGATCGCTAGCCATCGTCAGTCGATTTCAGGAAAATGGTACGTAAAGTTAGAGTGTGCGAGCAGCGTGCCAAGCTCGGGTGTCGGAGGCGTCCCGGGACGCTTTCCCTAGTGTAGGCTTTTGCGCCCGAGTGTTATGCGTGAGAATCGTAGAATGTGTGTGTTGGTGTGCCTGTTTTGCCATTTTTTAAATATAGGGCTAGGTAGGATAGGTAGCATACTTCTGGTGTGTCTGTTTAATTATAAGTAGGTAGGGCCGGGCAGGTTGTCACAGTCTCTGATCGGGTAGGCGCGTTTTCGCGTGACAATCTGTTTCAGGGAATAAAATTTGAGAAATCGAAAGCGAAGCTGAGACGAATGAACGACAGATGTCACTCGTCAATCTGACTTTGCTCATCGATTTTTCGAATTTCGCGGTCGCGGTCGCGATTTGCTTTCGAAACGAACGTTGCGCTCGAGATTCTGCGCGTCTACGGAGAACGATCATTGCGATCGTTGGCTTTTTTTTTTCTTTCGTTTACGATTAGTGAATCTCGAGCCTAGATTTAAGTTTCAGCGGGCATCGCGCCCGAAGGAGGAAGACCGAAGAGGCCCGACAAACTGTCACGAAGAGGGCTGCAACGAATGATTTCTCATCTTTTGGATCTTGTCTGGGTCCAAAGAATGGGAAGTCATTGTTACTATTTTGTCACTATGCTCGTTTTAGTAATAATACATAATATTATTGTATCATTTGTGTCGGTTGCATGCCAACAACATCCTGATCCAGTCATCATAAGCATCGCAGTTTTTTATTAATGCTGCAATTGTTCAATAACGAATTGAATTAGAGTTGTATTAGAGTTTCTTTATTTGTTATGAGAAATTATTTATGGTTTGAATTAATGTTGTGTAAAAAGATATCGTATTCTATTAGTATAATCTTTAAGTTTTTGCATAGATGGATTACTTTTAGACTTTTGTTGAGTAAAAAACATTTATAAATTAGTTTAAATTTCTAGACAGATTTAAAACAGTAAATCATGGCATTAGCTTCAAAAAGTTTGGTGTACTTATTACTTGGATTATTGTACGCTAGATGGCGTAGCAAACGTTCCTTAAAGTCGGTATGTTAGAACATGCGATATATAACTAATGTTCGGCAAAATACTTAATAAAATTCTAATAGATAGTTTAGCGGGCAAAGTCATGTACTATTATATCAATAATGGCTCGAGTAGTTCTCTTTATTAATTAATTTATCGACGTAATATAATGTTTTACAATTTATTAAATTCATTATTATAAAACACTTATTTATTGCAATATTATAATTACATTCTTTATTACTTTAATAACCTTGAAAATGGTAAAAGGAGAAATAGAGGAAGAAAATGTATTGGATGGTGTCAGTTCTTTATTTCGTTCATATTTGATAAATTGTCTTTTATAGAGCCATCTTTCGGAAAGAATTTAGAATACTTAACATTGCAATGTAATGTAGGTAAGAGAAGAAACAATTACTTTTAATTCTTAATTTTATTTATTTTATTATGAAATATATAACGTAAAACATAATAATAAATTATTAAATATGATATGCGTGTATAAATATATCACTTATTACTTATTCGATAATACTAAACAATGTAAAAATCAATTATTGTCTTTCACTGATATTTCTTATCTATTAATAGTAATCATTTGTCAGGAAGATATAATGATTTCTTTAAATAAATAATTATCACAAGTTGTCAAATCGCCTTTGAACAAATAGTTCGAAAGGTACAATTGTTATCAATAAATATGACAAATAAATAATTCTGTCAATAAATATTAAATATTAACGCTAATGCACAATGTGTGATCGTAATAAATAAATTCGCGAATAAATAAATTAAGTAATGCGATGTCATTTGAGTCGTTTCGCAACGATCTCTAATTTCTGTTATCACAATTGTATTCATTGGTGTCCAGTCATGCATATATTGTGACACGATTTGGTTTCTCTTCATTGATCGCACTCGATAAGTGTCGTATATTTCTCGATCAATTTTGTTGCAATCATCGTATTATTTTCCTCAATACTGTATCGTCACAAACGTAATACTCGATATTTTTTCCGATAGGATTCGAATACCGTATAATATTATCGAACGTTTCTTCTGGCGCTGGTCAATAATCAAAAATGCGCTTCCAGGCATGAAGGTAATCTCTGTATTTGAGAAGTATACCCCAGTCACGAACAAGTCTTCTAGTTTCGTCCACGGGCTCTCTTTCCACGTTGCTCATGATACTCCTTTCCACTCGCGATGGAATCCGAAGATATGGCAGATCCATGATAGTGATTTCTACTTCGCACAGCAAACTCTTTATGGCGATCTGCGTTGTTTGAAGAGCATTGTAAATTTTCGGATTCGTCTCGTCTTCCACCAATTCCTCGAAGGCTACCGCAAACTTCTGAAGGTCCTCGTGTAGCTTTGGAAAATGGTTCACGATCTATAAGAAAAATTATTATCTCACTTTCCGTCAATCACTTAACGCAACATTGAACATCGCGAACTATATTATTAAATAATAAATATTCATTGCTCAAAATTATTCAGATTGATCTGCATGTCGTAAATAATTTTATTAAAGAATTCAAAATAATTCTATTCGATCTGATGGTAGAATTCGATTAAAAGAATAAAATTAAACTGTAATTACTAAAATCATTAATCACAATTACGTAATCATAAATAAAATATTGTAATCATTAATGATACGGTAATTAATTCGAATCACACTTTCCTTCGTGAATTAAACACAAAATAAATACTATCTATCGTGTATATATATATATATATATATCTCGAAATTTTTTTTCAACGAAAGATGAAAAAAGAAGACAAGCATTCGTCGCGTCGTTGAAAATAATCGACTGGTGAAACGTGCTGGTGTAAGGAAAAAAAATAAGCGAACCGCGGTAAACATCTGAGAATACCCTGTACGTTATCACGGATGCGTTATCAGTGTGCACGCATCGTAGCTGAGAACAAGCTTGATTACGCAGCCGCCCGACCCGGCTAACATGAGCAACCGTGTACACCCGCGAACTTGCATTGCGCGCGCAAACAGCCGAACAGTCGCGCATGCTTCTGTTTCCCTGCTACTTTATAATAATTACCGTCTCATTAAAATTTGTTATTTAACGTTGCGTTAATTAATTGCAACATCGGGATGTGCTCGGTCAATTGGCCGTGCCGGTGAAAATACGCGCGACCACCTTCTCTCTCACCTGTTCCCGCCACTCTGTTCGCGCCTCCCTTCTTTCCGTTTACCCCGCTTTCCACGCTCCATGAATATTTATGCAAGCTTAAACGCCGTTAAATTAACCGTTTAAACGAGGATCATAATTAACGAGCGATGCAAATTAATTATTAATCGCATGCTTTGAAGAAGGAGACGATTCGCAGGATAAATAGGATATATGCTTTCTTTCCAATCGTCTCCAATTTCTGGGAAACTTTTCAAATTTTTCTATTATTTTTAACTGTTTTATCGGTTTATAATTTTTAGAATTTTTAACATTTTCGAGAAACGTCGATCGATCGATTTTCTGCTTCTTTCGCCGGTTAATAACGGAGTCGTTAAAGTGGTTTGACTTAATTTTCTGCTTTTCGAGGAAAAAAATTTGTTTTACCTTCACTTTTCGTAACACACTTTTATAAATAAAGAAATTGTTTTTAATGTATATGATCAGTCAACCGTCATTTAAGAGGATCAAAGGTTCAAACGAAAATCTGAATGGAACGATTTCGCACGATCAATGTACGTAGGATAAACGAACAGCACTCACCGTTTGTGGGCTTAAAGCGGACTTGATCCGCCTTTTCATCGCGTTCGCATCTTTCTTGCCAGGAACCCAGTTCGGGATATATTGATGCTCGTTAACACCGATCCGTACCTTCTCGTACAGGTAGTCGTAGTCTTGAAGTAAATAGTTGCTCAGAGTCAAATTGTGCTGAATCTTAAGCCTCTGTACGTAAAGTTTTACGTCCACATCCGTGCTAGCTTCTTCGTTGCTCTCGTCGATTTCTAGGATCTCGCCACACGGTAAATACCAAGTTGGTATGCTCGATTTGATCCGTATTTTGGGTGCACCAGATGCAACAGCGAGTATCGAGATCAACAGATAACTACGCGAAGCGAACATCTTTGCGATTCAATAGATTTTTATAAGTTTTTCTTACAAATTACGATACTGAATTACTCAATTAGATTAGAAATTATAATTAATTGTAAACAGCGCGTATTATTATCAGTCGTTGACCAAAAGGAAGGATTTCGTTAAAGCGATGTTACCGATTGGCGTGAGATCGTGAACTGAGATTGTCAAACTCTCGTGCTTCTTATATATGAGATTGTGTAAACAATCAAACGTACCTACGCAAGTTGGACGGTGGGATGACGGCTTATATTTTGTCGAACTTTTTAGCCGTTTCAATAAACTCGTGAAATCACATCCGAGTCTTCTTCTTCGAAACGATTTTTTTTTTTTTCAAAAATACGTCCACGTAATCTCACGAAACAGCTTGTTCTCAAATAATTTTTTATAGTTGGTAGTAGTGTCAAGTGCAGTATTGCGGGTATTCACCGAGTTTCAATTAATCGAATTAATCGGTGCGACGACGATTGAATGTATCGTTGCGGCAGAAATTAAAAAGTAAACAATCTTAATTCATCGTTCCAAACTCTCGTTCCCTCAATTGATGACGAATTATCTCGCGAAATCTTTTATTTTTTTTTTTGTTTTATACAATTATTCAATTATTATTATTATATTTATAGGAAAAACACATCGAAAACTAGCGTTGATCGTATCTCTCACGAGTGCAAAATCTTTTCCTTTTTCTAGGAATTGTGGAAATCTTAGGGATCTCGAACTTTTTCGAATCTTGAAATTTTCGATGGACAACGATTTTTAAAGAATTTTCTGATCTCCATTTTTATAATTCGTTTTATAAAATGTTTTATACATTACTTTTTTTTTTAAATCACGTAATAACCTTTCTAATCTTTAGCGACCTTTCGATTTTTCATTAAGAGAACAGGACAACATCACATCTCTATCTAAATTTATCCGTATGATGTGTTTACTAAAATTAATAAGTAATATTAATCTATGGATTTCGTACTTTCTCGAGGTTTTTTAGATTTATAGATATAGATATTATAGATATTATTACAGAGATATTATATCTCTGGATGTCTCTTCTTCGAGAAATCGGCGATCATAATCTGTCATCGAGCATTCTCATTCACGAATCCATCAGATATCGTAACAATTTTTACGGAAATCTAGTTACGCGTTAGGCAAAATAAAAAATACTGGCGTTTATAATTTCGAAAATCGAAGACTTCGAATCGCGCGAAATATAGGATCCTTTTATAATTCGATGCATGATTTATCGTTTACATTAAAATAATAATATCCTTGGTGATATTATCTTGAATAAAATTAGAAAGAATCGTTTCGACATTGTGTATGAAACGTATCAGCTAGATTTTGTAGGAAAACAAAGCTTGAACCATGGATATTTGCGAGGTATCAAAAAGGAACGAAAGAATGATACGAATACGTAAGAAAGCGATGGGAAAAATTGACGTCAAATGTGTCAATACTTTTGCATCGACAGCTGAACGATTAGGTCGAGCATGTGCATAAAAACTAGTGAATGAAGTCTACTCACAGCGTACGCATTTCAGCGTACCAACGCTTGACATATGGTACATGGTAGTATGTTGGACATCTACCATATATGGTGATGTTATAATTAGATCCGTCGGCGGATCTATCGAACTAAAATTGGATTTTCTCACACGAGATGATTAAATCAACGCGATCGGTTATTCCGGGTATAATCGCGCGTATCAAGAGGATCCAAAGGAAACAAACAACAGATTCGTTCACATATCTTTTTAATGTCGTGTTACCGCAGTAATTTCGGATAAAACAAATCGGTAATGGCAAAATTAAGATAGAATTAGATATTACAGCTGAATTGATAAATACGAAAGACTTTGTACTTCCTGTCCATCGGACAATTACAAACGTTATCGTATCATGTATGTAATATAACATTGCTCGTGTTTAATTTTATCGATTTTATCAAGTTGGTAATGATATACCACTATATATTGTAAATAAGGAATGTTGAAAAAAATATTTAAACGATACATTGAAAAATTGTTACGTACAAACATTTACGAGTGCGGAAATAGTAATGAATATAGATTACAACTTTCCTACCGTTCGTGTACGCCTGATACTGTCGGGGATCCGTTGTTGGGGCTATTTTTCGACAAGGATCCGAAGAGCTCGACATAAAATTAAATACAATGGCAAAAAGTTTCGATCAATAATTATCAGTAATATTTTACATTATCGAAAATTAATATTGTAAATAACATACGATTCATTGAAAATTATTATATTTCAATTTAATATAAATTGTCTGTTTTATCGTAATGATAATAATAATAATAATAATAATAATT